AGAATATAGTGGTATCAACAACTCATTTTGGGGTTCTTGAACCCGAACTATCTTTTTGTTAGCATGGAACCCATATAATCATTTGTTCATTTGTAGAAATCAAATGTAAACCCGATTCTATCATCTATTTTATCAATGCTTCATGTTTAAAGAGAAAAGAGAAATAATAAAACCATTATTCAAATTGATAATAAATCACATATGAACATTTGTTCATTTCATAGAAATCAAATGTAAAATAGAATTCAGGCTGTCTTTTGAATCTAAGATCACTTAATTCAATCAAGTACTTAGTGGGATACAAAGATATATGGTAATAGGTAAAGAACTATTTGTTTTTTTTAATTTTGAAAAAACTATTAATATTAAATACTTATATGGATGGTATTTTCATTTTTACATCAAATAAGCATCAAACCCGCCTGTTATACATACAACTATTGAATGCTTGATAAAACATTAATCAATTTTATTTTACAAAGCTTGTTTTCCAAGCTTGTCTAGTATTGGTTAATAAGTTTTAGAGATTTACAAAAAAACAGTTTTATAAACCCGAGTATATTGAAGACAGTAATGGTAATAGAAATATGGTTTTTTTTCTATATGCTATATATATATAAACAACTTGGCTGTCCTGCAGGGTTGGTCATGGTGCTGGTCCATTGATGGTCTGTTGGGTCTGTTGATGTAACATTTTAAACATATTTAGAAATTGGTATTGCCAACCCTGCTGTACTGTATATAATCATTAGGTATCACAAATAAGGGTAAAGATTTCTTTTAAAAATTTTTTTAAAATGAAATGTGATAATTCTCACCTAAAAAAATTTTTTTGAACAAGAGGACTGGTCTTATGACCATTTTAAAATTTTTTTAACAATACTCAAATACAAAGAAGAAGATATACTAGTGCACTATATCAGAGAGTTGAAAAAAATAGAGGAAGAGGAGGCGGTGGAAAGGAAGGAGAAGGCAGGGGCTTTGTTGAAGAAGCATTATCAGGTACATTTGATATATATTATTCATAAAGATATCCTACTCATTTAATGATGAATTGGCTAGATAGATAAATAGCAATGATGATGATGATATTTATTACCGAATTACTAGCATTAAAAAATAATATTTAAAAATATATAAAAAAAAATAAAAATAAAAAATAAATAAAAATAAAAAATAATTTAAACATTTAGAATTATCATTTGTATTGGTATTCTAAATGTTAATAAATAATTTAAAACAAAAAAAAATAAAAATAAAAATAAAAATAAAATAAAAATAAAAAATAAAAAATAAAAAAATTTAAAAAAAAATTAAAATGCTAGTAGTTCTCCTTTATGGTTCATTTTTCTACATTATTTTGGGTAATGTAGTGTAAATGGATTAAGAATTGTTCCTCATTATTTGTTAATGTGGTGTCAATTTTTTCATTCAGAGTCATTGTTTTTCAAATAAGAATTTATAGCAATATGCTGAATTGAGATCATAAATATAATTTTTAAAAAAAAAAAAAAAAACAAAATAACATTATTTGATTTTATTTAACAATAGGAAAAAAAGGTTTTTAAAAAAAGAAAAAGCTATTGACATCATCATCACCAAAACCATCATCACCACCACCACCAAAACCATCATCGCCGCCACCATCATCATCACTACCGCCACCAAAACCATCATCATCATTATCATCGCCACCACCATTAAGGTTTCTGGTCCAAACTGTTTTCTCAAAGCCCAAACTAGTTTGGGCAATTTCGGCAATTTCGGCTACTAATAGAAGCAGTTTCGGCCAGAAATCTTAACCACCATCATCATCACTACCAACACCAAAACCACTGTCATTACCAAAACCACCGCCATTATCATTATTATCATCACACCAAACCCATCATCATCAACTACCACCATTTCATCTCAAACATTCTTTACTTGGTTTGAATCTGATGATATGGATATAATAATGAATTACAATGATGATAATAATGATAATAATGATAATAATTTTAATAATTGTTACGATGATAATAATAATAATAGAGAATTGTTATTTCCTAATAGAAAAATAGCAAAACCTGTTAGTAGGCTTAAGAAAAAATAATAAAATAACTTTATACATTTATTCACTTAATTCAACATCACTCCCAATTGAAAAAGAATGTCCATATTTGAATAGTCAATTCATAGTATTTCGAATGATTCAAAATTCCATAGTAAAGTAGAGATTTAGAACTTATTCCTATATAAAATGATATATAAATACATTGCGTTTCAATTTCTGTATGTATTATCACTAAAGATGGGTTCCGCAATTAAAGTGCTGCAACTCTTGATGTTGCAACACAGTGTTGCAACATTGTGGGAAAGTGACTTAAATGTCCGCAATTATTCACATGTCGCAATTATTCACAAGTCCACAAATATTTTCTATTGCCACAACTATCCACAAGTCTGTGTACCCTTTTATATTAGAGTAAAATTATTATTCCTAGTTATATTTTGTTCGTATAAACATATTAATAACAATGTTAGAAAATAATCATTTCTTTATTTGTAAAACTGTAAAATTATTACCTTTTTGTTATTGTTATTAATATTAGTATGTAGTTTCTATTCATAAATTCATAATACAAATTCTTATTTGTTATTATTCCGCTTGTTTTATTCGAATTGTTCGCTTTATTAGAATTGTTCGGATCATTCACTTTATTTGCATTGTTCGAATTGCTTGATTATTATTATTTGCTTTATTCGAATTATTAGAATAGAAACCCCTATTAGTATGGCATTAAAAGAAATTTAGGAATCTGGTTTAATTCGAATCACTTTAAAATTCGACTGTTTCAATAAATATTTGTGCGTAAATAATTAACATTCACAATTCCTATCTAAAAAAAAAAAAGTGCAATATATATAATAACATTATAACGTTGTTAAAAAAAAATTTCCTTCTTCACGTGAAGAAGCCAATGCTCCTGTGGAGAGCATTCTTTGAGAGATTCGCCCTCAAAGAATTTTTGGACACCATGCATTTTCCATATTAAATAGATTAATTGTCATCTCTCATCTTTCCTTTTCTGATACAATTAGTGTATTATTGTTACATGCTTATACTATCTAA